TAATCTTAAACGCAAATGGAAGTCAGCTAATTACACACAAGGGAATTTTATAAAGAAGTTTGCTGACTGGTTGGACCAAGAAATAAAATGGCCAGAGTTTGTTTCACTAGACATAACTGAAGAACAATCAAATATTATGACGAGTTTTGAAGATCTTTCAACAAGTATTTCAACAGTAACAAGACCTAGTTTATCAACGGAATGCACTGTTCCTCATAGTGTGGCTGTGTCGACATCAACCGCTACATTTAGTCCTCGAAAAGAATTTGCCAATTTGAGTCCACTGCAAAAAAGAAGAAGAACTGAAAATCTCATTGCCGAAAACGATTTTGAGACACTTGCTTATGCCCTGGCCAGGAAAGCGGAAAATGAAAACCAAACGGACTTTGTAGAATTAGTGAAGCATTTGATTAAAAAGCCTGAAGATACGCCAATACTGCGAGCCTGCCTGAAATCGACGAAACGAACTTGTCATACCGATAAGGCACTTGGTATTTCAACATCACTGAAATTATCGAAATGGCAGTATATTGCATTGAGGCAGACAATGAGAGACATGGGGTGTGATATACTTCCATCGTATGATGCTTTGAAGCAAGAGAAGAAGGAGTGCTACGTTGAAAAAGAAGACATGGTAATAACTGAGACTGAAGTTAAACTTAAGCTTCAGTCTATTTTAGATATTACGGTCAAGAGACTATTAAAAACTCTGGAAACTGATTTAACTGGCAGTAATTCGACTCTTATCAGTAAATGGCGGTTTGACGGTGCATCTGGGCAAAGCAACTACCAACAAAAAATTGACGGCGATGATTCAAGCATCTTCATGTGTTCATTTGTGCTGTTAAAACTGGTGAGAGATGGTACTGATGAAATAATATGGGAAAACCCCAAAGCGTCTTCAACGTTTTACTGTCGACCCATTTATTTTAAGTTTGCTAAAGAGAACGATTTGAATGTTAAAGAAGAAATGATTTCAATTGATACGGAAATTGCTGCTCTACATCCAACTGTTATCGATGGTGCAAATGTAAAACACGTTCTGCATATGACGATGATTGATGGTAAAATAACTTCACATTTATCAGATACATCCACAGCTACATGCAATATATGCAAAGCAAAACCAAAAGAAATGAATGATATCGACAAGGTTACTCAAAGAACCCAGTCTGTAGACATGTTTAAGTTCGGTCTGTCTTCCCTCCATGCACGAATTAGATACATGGAATGTATCTTACATATTGCTTCCCGTCTCGACTTCAAGAAATGGCAAGCTAAGGGCGAAGATTTGAAGCAACAGTTAAGCCAAAGAAAAAAGGCTATTCAAGAACAATTCCGGACTGAAACGGGGCTACTTGTGGACGTTGTTAAACAAGGGGCTGGTACAAGCAACGATGGAAACACAGCAAGAAGATTTTTTGTTAATCCTCAAGTTACTGCTCAAATAACGGGTGTTGATGAAGAACTCGTTAGAAGATTTGGAGTGATTCTTCAGGCTATCTCATGTGGAGAGTTTGTGGACGTGGAAAAATTCCGCCAATATTGTGCTGCTACAGCACGCAAATATGTCGAGCTCTATGAATGGTATTTTATGCCCTCAAGCGTGCATAAATTACTCATTCATGGTGCCGATATAATAGAGCACAATAACTTTATACCAATCGGCAAGCTCTCTGAAGAGGCCTCTGAAGCTCGTAACAAAGATTTTAAAAACTTCAGAACCTTCCACTCGCGTAAATCTAGCAGGATTGCAACAAATGAAGATATTATCAATAATTTGTTAATATCGTCTGACCCATACCTATCAAGTTTCAGGCCTAAAATATGTCAACGAAATAAACCTCTCACAAATGAAGCTAAATCATTATTATTAACTTCTTGTGAAGATAAGGAAAATATAGAGTTTGTAGATGTAGGTAATGTATCTGATTATGACTTTGATTAGTATGTGTTCTTTCCCTCAAATCAAATTATATCAAACTTTGTATTTTTATTTTTTTGTATCTTTGTATCATATTAATATAAACAGTTTACGTACTTAAGAACTGTTGTAGCCAATTTGAGTTCTACTAATCTTTTATACTTTAGCTTGTATGTGTGTAGAAATTTATACAGTTGTGGCTTCCTTATTATGCATTATTTAATTTATGATATCAAGCTTAGTTAGTAATTTAAGTTTTGTAAATAAAAATATTGATGTTAATAATTTTGTTTTATTCATAATGTAAATAGTTTATTTTCTCGTTTGGCAGTAACATATCAGAATCTCCCTTACTACATTTACTAATATTAATAACCAGCTAGTTTATCTGGAAAAACACTTTGTTCATTTTAAGTTTAGTCAGTTAAAGATCTAGGTATCCCAAAATAAACATATTTGATCAAACCCTTTCTTAGATAGACATTGTAAGTGTAGGTATGTTTGTTTGACAAAATTAATTATTATAGGCAAACAACGGCAGGTAATGACTGTGGGTAACCCTTTGAATTCCTCAAAACCTGCAACAATAGAGTTTGTATTGTTTATATGTAATGATGCTCTCGTTAATGGCGCGCGCCTTTTAAGCGATTGTCAAACAAAAGATTAAATTGTAGGCTGTAAACGACTTCATTGTAATTCTTTACAATATTGTATTCTTTTTCTTAAAACTATTTCTTTTATCTATTTATATTAATTCCATATCTTTTGAATAAGGACGCTTTTATTTAAAGTTAAGTTGTATGGTGGCGTTATCTACTGTGTAGTTTTATTAGATAATAATCTGTCATATTTAATTAATAATTATATTAATAACTAAATGCTGGGCAAGAAACATAAACAAACTGTTTATTGAGACACATAACCCCGTAAAGCAATATTACCCTAATAAGCATTTTGAAAAATTCGTATCTTTTGAACGGGGCCGTCCGGGGTGAAGGTCAAAGGTCACATGGCTTTGTAACAGACCCGGTAATAATCCCTATAAGTTTCAGCTTGACCGTAGAAGACCGAGACAAGTTATGAGCAAAACAAATTCCGTTTTCATACATTTGAAACTCTAAAGCCCGTGCTTTATGGTGTTAGATTAAAAGGAAATTCCCCAAAATATTTTATTATTCAATGTACTGATATGTCCAATAAAACCGCATACCTTAAACGGATAATAAACATTTTTATTTTTTCAAAAATCCTATGAAAGGGGACCTCTTTTTTTCACCCACTGTGCCACGCCCCTGTCACCAACCGGCACGACGGTCCACCCCGAGATTATGGGTGACATGTTGGGGCAGCCTCGCGAACTGGTTAGGAACGCTCGGGCCCCTGTACTGTGCCACGGGCGACCAGCGGGACAGCCGTTTCTACGGGTCTCCCTGGCCGGTGGGTCGATGCAGTCCTCCCGGCATCGGTTCGACGGATGACTCCACTGGACCGAATCCGTCGCGGCAATCTCCACTCGAGCTCTGGTTGTACGCTGGCTGACCCCGAAACGCGCGTGAAGCACTTCACGGGTTTTTCACCATGCGTATGGTGGTAGCAAACCAGGCGGGTGTTAGGCACCCTACCACCAGAAGAGCAGATGGAAGCTCTGATATCCCTCAGTCACTTCTTACGACACCCGCGGGAAGTGAAGGGGCGGTGAGTGTAATTCTTTCTCCGTCACTGCACAAATAATATCACTAAAGAATGTAAGCAAAATCAAATTGAATTAAAAAACGCAAGGATAGCGCACACAGCACAAGAATGCGTACTCATTTCCTGACATTTAAAAACATACTGCTTATTTGCTTTTGCTATTTGCAGTCACTTAGTAAACGGAATGAATATAAGTTGCGACACAAAATTCTAGCGCTGACCCTTATTGCACAGAAGTTAAAATTAAGAAGTCTTGGGGGTAACAAGGAGCGCCGATGCGCAGCTGTCCCCTACGCATTTTGTTCAGCGCTAGAGTTACGTGCCGCGACCTGTACCAAGATATGCTTTTTCATCGTTAAGCAGCATAAGTTTCCTTTAATTCCGAACTCAAAGTAATTTTATGGTCAAACATAGATGGCATTGACTTTATCAAAGCATGCGTTATTGCCTAATACAAGTAATTTTATACAGACAAATAGATGGCAGGCAGGACTAAGCAAAGAGTGTGCTATTTATTAATTTAAAAGCATTCTGGAAAAACACTGACTTCAAATTAATAAACTTGACTGAATAAACGGCACTAAATTTTTAAAGTATTCAAATTTATTTACAATACTTGACCAAATTTTGATTCAAAACAAAGTGTTTTGGCAGTTTTATTAGTATTTAAAACTTTATTCAACTATATTTAATATTAAAGTTTTTTTACAGAGGAAATTGTCATTGCTGTTGTTGAATTTTACAATATGAATATTTATGATTGATTTTAGAATTTGGATGAGTCGTCATAGTGAATATTAATATTTCCAAAAATATTACATTAATATATTACCATTAAAAAAAGGAATAATTTTAATTGTTATTCAGATTTTTAGATTCTATTATATAGTTAGTTACATACAGGTCGATCTAATAAAAGGGTGTTAAAAAGGAATAATTCATAGCTAATATTTACTTTAATCTAAAATACATATAAGTTGAATAACAATACTTGGGAGTCTGTTCCATGCCAGCAAACATTAATAATAAACAGCATTGCATTGCTTATCATTGAGTTAGCACCAACTCCAAATAATGACACATAATTGATTATATCAAGAAGATCTCTCAACGCTCACTATAAATTTAAAAAATACTTACAATATACTTACTTAAAATCTTTATTGAAACTCCTTGCATGACAAGCATTGAAAAATAAGTGTTTAAATTATGTGAACATGTTAAGCCTGTTATATACCTAACACTACTGATTTTTACACTAACAAAACAATTACTTATTTAAAAATATACCTTAATATTAAAATATTTCCCTCTTAAAGACAATAGACTAGTAAAAGAACTTTTTTTAAATTTTATTAAATTCGGAATTCTGTTTATTACTTACCTCACCATCAGAATCATAGTAAGCTAGAGCGCGGCGCTTCAGAACCACCCAGCGGCCTTTGAAGTTAACGGGGGTAAACAGTTTCTTATTTTGTGATCTTTTAATCATAAACGTTTGTAATATTACTTCATCGTCATCTTTGCCTGCCATTATCACTGAAATTATAAGTGTTACGAAGTCATAATAACATTCGAAATATATGTAAAAAACCAAAACAAAACCGGCGAAGAATGTAACAATACGAACCAAAGCACAGCCTTTGTTTTACTGAAACTGATTAATTTTAGGTACCACAGTCATCAATCTATATTTTAGTATTTGGATCACCATCAAATACAATAGTAAACGTTAATAGATTAACGATTTTCATTTATTAGTCATACACTGGGCGAGCTACGAAATATTGACCTTTTTTTTCTTTTTTGGTTACGTTCTCCCTTTCCAGGGAAGGCAAGGGGAACAATGCCCATACAGTCTAGTGTTAAGTTAAATTATTCTGTTTTTCTTTTTACATTAGAATGTCGGTGCGACGTATTCTAATGTTTCTTGAAGTATTTGGCACGAAATGTATCGAGCTGGCTTTGTCGATAAGCTTCTGTGAGGTAGTCAATACTACAATAAAATTCTCACGTCCACTTGACCGGAATAGTGTATATTTTGACGATTCTACTAATTCTTCAGTTACGCAGACAGCTGTAACACAAAATCACACCAATTTTATTTCACAATATCCACTATGAACGAATTTACGAATAATTAAATTAAGACGCCAACCACACTCGATGAAATCCCGCCAAAAACTCCCTTTTTTTCTTTTTTGTGGCAAGCACGGTTTGTGCGTTCATCTCTGTTCAGCCACAAGTGAAATATATTTTTTTTCTTGCACCGTTTCGTTTTTATATTAGTTTGTGTTAAATAATTTTAAATAAAATGTTAAATTTAATGACTTTTCTTTTATTTAAAATGCTATGTTATATCGCAAAAAACAATCCTTATGATTAACCGTTTCAATAGATATGAACTTCATGTATGTCGTGTTTTTTCGAAATTTCACGAGTTTGATTCCCAGTTGTATATTCCCATAAGGAACACCTCAAGCTCCTCTTCAGCCGCTTCAAGGAGTATGGTGTGGTTATTAACAACTCCAAGTGTACTTTTGGTGCCAAAGAGGTAAAGTTTCTTGGGTATGTCGTGAACGCCGAAGGCGTACGCCCCTTCACCGACGCATCTAGTGTCCACGAAACATCGAAAATCATCGAATCATCGGCAGGAATCGGTTCCTGCCGATGATTCGATGATTTTGTTACTTAATTGGTAGTCAATTTTGTTGGTGCCTTGCTTTTCCTAACTCTGTAGGGGGGTGATGTGGCGACTTTGCACCGCATAAAAGTTGGTCAATGTCGCCATACAGCCAGTGTCTATGGACATTCCGTAGGCACTAGCACATTAGAAAAAAGTTTTTAATTACGTTCTTTTTATATATTTTCTATTTGATTTATAATGCCTGCTATACATGTAACGATTTATCGTATCGATTAAACTGTGTAAATCGACTTGCGCAGATGTATCGAACGTGTGTATGACAAATCGTTGTTGATTATCATTCGTCGTTGGCAGTTGCAATTTTTATTTGATAAATCGTTGTCGATTTCGTTTGCACAGTTTTATCGTCGCATGTGGATGGCGATCGCTCAGTTCGGCTGTAGGCTCGCAAGTGTGCGCACGTGTGGATCGCTCTTATATGGCAACATGTCTGAAGAAGAAAGAGGTCGACACCATGAACTAATGCAAGATTTCATAGAGAGCTATAGAAGTGAAACTTGCCTTTGGATGACCACATCTAAAGATTACCATGATCGCAAGTATCTCATTCATAGCTCGAACGAATACGACACTACGATACTACGAACGAGACACACCAACTCCGAATCGTTCTGACAGCGACCGCGACATACTAAACTATTCTGACAACGAACGAGACACACCGACCCCGAACCGTTCTACACCTACACCAATCTCGATTTGACCAAGAGCTTGCGGTGATATTAATCTAGAAAACTTCATAAATTCGTAGCAACGTCCTGTAGCTAAAAATCGTAGTGTAGCAGATAATCTCTCATGAAGACTTATTGATTCTCTAATTACAGTGTCTTGTTTCTGTATTAGTGGAGAAACTAAGGCCAGCAGGTTTAAGTATGTTTCCTCATTTATTCTCAAGTAATTATGCCAATCTTTCGAGGCGAATTTCAACTCATTTAACAAGTTGATATGAGAAAAATTGCTTCCTTTTCATGAGCCAGTCGACACCACACACTCCGCTCCATTTTTTTCTTTAAACACATAACTACTTAGGCCTAATATCGCAAGTGCGTCATAATCTTCCATCGTGGATGCCATGTTTCTTGCGTGAGCTTCTGCGGAGAACAGACCGAACACACAATCGACGGCGATATCGAAGGCGTGTGGAGTCACTAGGAACGTTCGATTTATCTGCACAGTCTGAAATCGCTACGATATATCGTTACGTGTGTACCGACCATTAGTTGTGATTCCAAAAATAGACTTCGAGATACGATACTTCGTTCCTACATGTTGTATTTTGATAATTGTGAAAATGTCGAAATATAGTGCTGATAAGTTGACCCTGTATTGCCGTTTTATTATTCCATTCCGCTAGTGGGGAGCAGCGGTTAAACTTTCCCAAATATTTACAGCTAAGTAGGCATCTGACTTTACCCCACCTGATCTTAAATGGTGATTAAGTCAAAACGCAAAGATAGTTGGTACAGCAGTTATAAACTGCTACACCAACCATCCTCACCTTGCCGGCCTGCAAAAATGCTTCTTCACGACTTTCTTAATAGGACCCCAGATTGTAGGAAGGACGGAACACGTGCGCGGATAAATAATTCCACTTACGAATAGTGCGACAATGAAATGAGTCACCAAACTTTGTTCGTGTAGGAATAGTGGCTACAGTAAGTCAATGGCAACGTAGGTGAGCGCGCGTGGTCCTCTGTAGAAAAGGTGATGGATGGATAAGGGAGAATAACTCCTCAGAACACTAGCGGTGGTATAGTCGGTAGAAGGCGCTTAATGATGCCACATCGCGGCGTAATTGTAAAGACTCGAGTTTCTTAGTTACCTCTTCATCGCCAATGATGTGAGCGGCGCGCCGCTGCAACCTATCCAAGGCATCGAGTAAGTACTTAGCGGAGCCATCGCAGGGGTGTGACGCGAGCAATATTCCACGCAGGACCGCACTTGCGTTTTGTACAACAAGCACAGTTGATCGGGCGTGAAAAAACGCCGCACCTTGTTCAGGACTCCGAGTTTGCGTGAAGCTGTTTTGATCAAGGTTTCGATGTTGTCCTTTGGATTCAGGTCTGAGCGAACTTCCATACCGAGCATGGTGATATTGCTCTGTAGCGTCAGTGTTGTACCCTAAAGAGAGGGAAGGGGAAGGAATGGCGTTGTTTTTGCCATGAAAGCGCAAACCTGAGTTTTCTTGGTATTGAACTCAAACAAGCTCCTGGTACCCCATTCGGAAATGTGGTCCAAAGCCTGATTGAGTTCAGCGATAAGATTCTCCGTTTAAAAAATGTTAATATTATTTCCCTTATTCCTTTTAAAAGACATACAAAATTATATTTCTAAATATTAATTTTTTACAATGTATAATATTAAAAAATACAAAAATGAAGTTCCCCATCGGCAGCAAGATCAGGGTCCTTGCTACCGGTGGTTAAGGATCTAGAGGCAGGAACTTCCCCATTATACGAGCCTTGCCCAGAAGTACTGCCGTCTGCGTTATTATTAAAAAATAAAGAATAGGCTGTATGGGCATTGTTTCTTTTGCCTTCCGTGAAATAGGAGAATCTACGTAAGTAGTCTGTGGGAGAATCATAAAAAAAAAGATTTCAGGTTTCATTCAGATTTCAGTATATAAAAATTGCTAAATACAGAAACAGTATATCTTGGAAGTTTGGCTTTGAAATAATACGGAAATAATTAAAGCTAGTTTAATGTGAAAGAAAAATAATCGAACCTTATTCTTTTCCTAATACTACGATTGATTATTTTATAATAATTACAATGAGCAAGGATACTGAAAATATATCGTCGGATACTGCTCAAGTTAGCTCTTTACCATTGCCTCCTATGCAATATATTAATTTTTATACAGATGAAAATGTTCGTAGAAATAGAGCACCATTGCCACCACGTCCCATACATGATTCATATTCTATGTTTGGACACCCTTTTAACGCGGATGATACAATAATTAGATCTCTGGAAAGCCAGGTTAGTACTTCTTATAACTTCATAGTTTTAAGCTTTACGTAAAAGAATACGGAAATACTGATATATGCTACAAAACACTGTTACATACTTACTTTTCTTGCAGGGCTTTCGTCGGCTATATCCTGTTCATTTTGAAAGAAGAAGAGAATTAAAAAAATTGAATCATTCCCTATTGGTCAACTTTCTAGATCTTTTAGACCTATTGGTGCATTGTCCAGATTCCCCTAAAAGGGCCGAGAAAGTGGAAGATCTCAGTTTGCTTTTTATACACATTCATCATTTACTTAATGAATTCAGACCTCATCAGGCTCGAGAAACTTTGAGGGTAATGATGGAACTACAGAAGCGACAACGTGTTGAAACTGCTACGAGGTGATAATAATTTAGATACTTTTATTATGCTACCTATGTGATGCCTATGGTTCTTCTATAAGAACCACATGAAAATAATAATTCACAGTGATCCTACCTCTCACTTTGTGTAATATGATTTTGCCATATTAGTAGTACAGTAAAGGCTCCTTATTTGCGGGGTATATTTTTTAGAAATATGCTGCACATACAGAAACTGTAAATATGGAGTGGTATTTTATATTAGATTAGAGGATACATTTCGAGGGTGGTAAAAAAAACCATTTTAAATAATTGAATTGAGCTTCTACAACTTAGCACAGTATGTTTCTAGCAGGAGCTAACCGGGCAGTAGGTCAATTAAAGATAATTTAAAGAAAACAATATATATTAGGCATACATAAAGATTACCAATTTTTATAATAACAGAGTTTCTTTTTTTATTTCCTTCTGACAACATTATTCAATAGGTTTGACATCCAATATAAGAAAGGAGTTTACTCTATTATCTTCTCGCATTGAAAACCTATGATTGAAACCTATGATCACAGTGCTTGTTGAGCCAAGGTCTTGGTAGCGGTTTTGTAAGCATGTCCACTAACTGTAGCTCTGTAGTAACCTCGTTGACAAGTGCCCTTCTGAAACTAGCTCTCTTACAAATAGAGTTAGTGTCTAATGCGAATATGTTATGTACTGCGATGGAATTCCAGATTTTCAGCCAATCTCAAAGCAGCTTCGTTATCTACTTGAAGTACAGGCGATGCCTGCCTTTAACTCTACCAAGCTTTTTATTAGTCTGGTCAGCCGGATACATTCCCTCTCTGCTTGACTGGCAGTTTGACTACATCAGCTTGTGTTGGTTTCTCCAAATTTCTGGACTACACTCACTGCAAAAGCAATGTCAGGTCAGCTTCCAACCATTAAGTAAGCCAGAGCCCCAACTATTTGTCTAATAGCATTTAAGAAAATAGTTCATCTATTTTTTAGCTGGAGTGGAGTATCTTCTTTTATCATTGGAGTTGTCAGTGACCTAGATTCTTGCATTTCAAATCTATATAAGATTTTTTTGGTGTACGATGTCTGATGAACCAATAAACCATCTTCTCTATTCACTTTCTCAATTCCGAGAAAATAACCCCCTGGTTTCGTAGTTAAACGCTGCAATCAGTTTCTATTGCCATTTTGTTTTTTAAACAGACATGGATCTGCTTCACTGACTTGGAACACAACATCTTTGAAGAAAGTCAGTATTGTGGTGTTTCAACATCTAGGAGCTTGTTTTAACCCATAAAGACTCTTTTTCAATAAACCAACTTTTCCCCAACCATCTTCATACCTGTCAGGCTGTTTCATGTTGTAAAGAACCATGCAAACGAAGGGGTGAAAATGCGTCAATTCGACTATATAGGTCATTGTCTCATGTGATAAAGAACCATGTAGGAAAGCTGTGGAAACGTCGAATTGACGCATTTTCATCCCTTCGTTTGCTGTAATACTAAGAAATGAACGGACAGTCGCCATTTTTGCAACAGGGCTAAAGGTACCAAACCTTTGTAATATACTCCTTTCTTTTGACGAAACCCTTTAGCAACCAATCTAGCCTTGTATTATCTATGAATCCATCAGTGTTCAGTTTTATCTTAAAAACCCACTTATATGGAATCGCCTTTGTTTTTCGGTAACTTCTCCAGACTCCATGTACAGTTTTCTCTCAGTGAATCAATTTCACTATCCATTGCATCCTTTCACAATACTTTATCAGGGCACACAATTGCTTCTTTATAACTAGTCATCTCTCGACCTTACTATAGAGTTAGTCTCTCTGTGCCATAGTCTGTATCCATCGTCATTATCGTAACCTACTAGCAGGCATTTTTTGGCTTTCTTATTTAACTTTTTCCTAATTACTTTAGAAACATGCACGTAACACACTGATCTTCTCAAGTGCGTAATTCGAGGTTTCTTTCCTAACCATATCTCAAACGGAGATTTGTTTTCCATTGTGGTCGGTCCTGTTTTGTTAAGAATATATACAGCACTATATTCCAAGTCAGCCCACAGTGACTCAGGAAAAACTTCACGTGCATGCATCATCGTTCGAGCCATTTCGACGATAGTCCGATTATCTCTTTTACAGCACCCATTTTGCTCAAGTGTATAAGGACTCGTTAGTCTATGCTTAATACCATCTTTTCTTAAAGTATCTTCAAATCTTCTGTTAATGAATTCACCACCATTGTCAGTCAACAATTCCTTAGTAACGTAGCCGTGTGCCTTCACCAAAGCAAGCATTTTCTCTAGCTTTTCTGGAACTTCAGATTTGTGCTTCAAGTAATAAATTAAGCGAAATTTTGAGTAGTCATCCTTAAAGAGTAGAATGTTTCGACAGTGAAGGCGGAATCAGACCACAAACATCAGCATGCATTATTTCACCAGGCGATTTGGCTCTCAAACTTGTGCCGAACTGACGTCGCGTCGCCATCGGTGCGCCTTACCGAACAAACAGCCTTCACTTAACTCCCTTGTATCTTTAATTCTCGCTCAACCAGACTTTTCACATGTCGCTTATCTTGGTGGCCCAGACGTTCGTGATGCAACTGCAATTTATTCACAGCATTAACAGATGCAATTATTTTAGGTTGCACCGCTGTGCACTTCAGATTATATAGTCGACCAAACATCTGTCTTTGTCCAGTCACTATAACCTTTTTGTCGTTCTCCAACATGCATGAAGTGACCCGCAACTGGAATAGGCTATATGAGTTTCTGCCGTGTCCTGCCAATATCGAAAACAGATTTCTTGAGTTCTGTCTCTCTCGCTCGATAGAGTGTTATTTACAGACGTGTGCGTGTGTGAGAGTTCCTTATGTAGTTGAGACGGATCATATTTTATTTGATGCTAGTATGAGCGTACCGTATCTTCCCATTTTGTTTTGATCTAAGGCGAATAGTGAAAACGCAAATAAAGGAAGTGTGAATAAGGAGATTTTGCTGTACTAAAAAACTACCAGTATAAAGACTTAGCTAAGCTAAGCTATGCAGCGTTCTACTAAACACAGTTTGAGCCGGGTACTCATTACCGAGCTGTAACCGTAACCGTTGCATGCACTGTAACCAAAAAGCATAGTGGTTACGTGGCCGTGGTTCGCTAACTTGCTGCGAGCGGTACGCGTGCGGTTTGCAGCGAGCCGACCGACGTTTACAACTGAGTTACAAGTGTACACACTAGAATCTCGTACACGCATCACGCATGTTACGGTTACAGCTCGCTAATGAGTACCTGGCTTTAGAGAGACAGAAGTTGGTTATTTGATATGAAATATCTTCATTATGTCTTTCTTATAAACATTTTTCTATTAGAAAATATTTTTGACATCTACCCAGCTGTGTTTTTATGGCTCATTTTTATTCTTTTCAATTCCAGATTTAAGAAACATCTAGATAAAGTTCAAGATATACTACAGAACGCTCTCCAAAGTTTACCTGACCAAAATGAGCTAGATTCCAATTTTAAAGTGCCTATTGAAATATTGGAGCAGATGGAATGCAGTCCTAGTGACAGCAGTAATGTTGATCCTTGCTATGAACTTGATAGAATTATGTGTAATGTTATTGACAATATGAGATAAATCCTTTATTTTAATGTGGTGCTTAAATTTAATAAACATTTTTACATAAGACCATAGATTTATATTACCAACTTGGGTAAATTACAAAAATAAACGGATATGTGCTGTTCCCACGCGTTCGCAGCGAAACCGACAAAAACCGGCCAAGTGCAAGTCTACCATAATTTATACAACATCGGAAGAAAGAAAAAAAATTTTCACTAACCATTATTTATACGCAATAAATCGTAGAAAGAAGGAATTGAAAATAGCAATTATATTTAATATTGTATCTTTTTCAGTTATCACTATAATATTCTGTATTCGTTTTCGGCATGCTAAAAAAATGATTTGGTTATTAAAAACAATGAATGTTTTGTTTAAACAAAAGGCCTAGATTATGAGAGTCCATACAGTTTAGTTAATATTCAGCTCACTAGATGTCTTTTGGCAGTGGCGGCGCTAGACCACATGTGGACGTCGCGTCGGCGACATCAAGTTCGCGAGGCCTATTTTACTTCGCAGTAAAAAACCGTTAAATTAAGTGCGCCAAATTATAAAATAACGTATGCGTAAACGAGTTTTCTTGTTCATAATCAAGTGATGACAAAAAATAATTACAAATATAGAACTAGTTTTTACGGGTTAATGCGTCAATAAATAAATAAAGTTCGTGCATTAACCCGTAAAAACTAGTTTTATTTATTAAGTGATGTGCGTGAAAACCTAAGAAACAAATATAGAAATTTAATAACAAAAATAGTGTTGCCAGACAGACGATTCTGAATACCCGTAAAGTACTACTCGCTTCCATCACGCACGTGTTCGAAAATAATAAAAGTCATTATCATCTGCTTAGCTTTTTCCCCGAATTGTTCGGGGTCGGCTACCTAAGCCAGGCCAGGAGAAACGAAAATAAATAGGTAACTTGTAAAAATATTTTGCGAGGCCCCCTCAGGCGCGAGGTCGTCGGCGGTGGCCGACGTCGCCGACGCCTAGCGCCGCCACTGTCTTTTGGTATATAAATTCCAGCAGGTACCAGATTACCAGTCCAGTACAATTAGGCTTAAGTTTATAGACCGTGCGGTACAAGATCAAAACAAATAGATATTGGTGTCGATTCTAGCAGGATTCTCTAAACTTAAAACTAAATGTAACAATAGTCATTCTGTATCGAGAATGACGAAGATACACTGTTGTCAAATTTAAGTTTAGCTTTAGAGAATAATATAAATAAATAAATAAATAAATATTTACAACACTCACACCAATTAGCCTAGCCCCAAAGTAAGCACTGTAAAGGCTTGTGTTATGGGATACTAGGGTAACGGATAGAATACATATATTGTACATATATAAGTATATTTATATGAAATACATATTAAATATCCATGACTGGAGTACAAATGCTCGTATTCATCACACAAACATCTGCCCCCACCGGGATTCGAACCCGGGACCTCTCGAGTCGGCGACGCCATGAAACCCGGCGTATAAACCACTCGGCCACGGAGGTCGTCAGTATCGACATTATCGTGCTAAATCTTGAACCGCGAGGACACCGCGCGCTTTAAACAGTAGATAAGGACAGACTTGTTAAGTTCCTAAATAGCAAATACATAAGCCAAGTAGTGAATTGGCGGCATTAGAAACAGTATAAACTTTCTTATTAATTATCATGTGTTATAAGCGCCAACCACTTACGCTATCGAGCTCCTCGCTAGATAGCGTAAGTGGTTGGCGCGTTTGGCTGAGATCGTTAAAATTAAGCAGCTTTTGCAGCAGTCGGTCATTGGTCGGGTGACCAATAATTTACAACCTTGAGCTCCTCCGTGCTTCGGAAGGCACGTTATACCGTTATTCCCGGCTGCATCTGCGGTCGTTAGCACCCACCAATCGCCACTGGGCCCGCATCCTGGCCCACGACATATACCTGCTAAGTGGACTTGTTCAATTAAAGCATTCATTTTCGAACGACTTAACTCTTAATTGTAATAATAACTACTCTTTTACAAAAAAAAACCCGGACACTATATTTTTTCTCTATTTCAATGAATATTACAAGAGGCCAATACATCATCAAATTATGACGATGTATTGGCATTTTATTTGGCATGATTCTTTGCGTTACGAATTAAAATTTTGAAGTTAACAAAATAAAAATGATGGATAATGTAAAACATAGCCGCACTTGAAGAAGGTTGTTCGCAAACTTACATGTCGCAGCGGCTAAATGTGAGGCAACGGTATCAAGAGACCGAAAACAGGTCACAGAACCCAGAGATGACCGCTTTTTAGTGCGTCAGGCGGTGCGGAATCGTAAGGCGTCTAGTGCGGACCTGAAGAAGAGCCTTGAAGAAGTAAGAGAAGTAGAAGTTAGCTTCTGGACGGCCACTAGGAGTCTTTTGGCCCGGAGACCTAAATTATTCCGTGAGCACTGTGATGCTCGACTTCAGTTTGCTCGAAACTGTGCTTCAAGGACTGGAATAAAGTATTGTATTCTGATGAAGTTAAAAGCTTTTTGTGTGTATGCCGGCGAGTGCTGCGAATACCACGGGGACCCAATGCGGAAGTGTGTTCTAAGTGCTATTAAAGGATATGGTTTCTGCACTTAGTCCTTAAGTGGACCATTGTACGTGAGCCTTAGCGGCCGGTTACTCCACCGCCCCCACCTCCCTTCAGAACAGATCAGTCTTCCCAGTTTTCTCTGGGCATCCGCGAGGGATTCCGCGGTGTACCGAGAGTCTCGTTGCGGATCTGGGTGACACCGGTGCACTCAAGGAGAACATATGCCATCGTTTCTTCGGCTTCTTCACCATGCATGCTCTGCATAGGGGACTGACAGTGATACCTAGAGTGTGAAAGTGCTTGATCAGTGAGCAGTGTCTGTTAGTCCCCATCACGAGTCTAATGCTATTCCTATCCAGGCAAGGCGGAAGTGTGTTTCGAAGAAATCATTCCGTATGGCGGAGGTTCTGTTATGTTTTCGCCAGCAACTAATACGAATAACGAAGCGTACGGAGTTAGTTTTCATAGAAAATGGAACATTCAATGCACACCGATACATAACGGAAGTTGATGCACAACCCGCATTTACTGCACTTTTGGAAGATTCCATTTTTATGGACGACAATGCTCGCCTGCACCGTTCTGGCGATGTACAAACATACATACAATACGAGGGGATCCGTTTTTTCTTTTAGATTGGTCAGCTTAAAGTAACCTAACCTTAATCCAATTGAACATGTCAGGGATTTCGTTTATCTAACAGATCTCATGAATATTAGATAATTGCTATAAACATACCCTATAATGGATAAGTATGTAAAAAGTTATAACATTTTTCAAATTTTCAAATTAGTTTTTTGCCTCTCCTGAAAAATTTACTTTTGGCGGTTACCTTAATTAATATTACAAGTGACGATATATTCTCTTACCACTCAGCTATTCCAACAATGCCGACGGTTAATTAAACACTAACTCGCCAAAGCGATTTTTGAAGTGAAACTTCTTTATCGGCGTTGGAAAAAAATTTACCGTCACATTTTTCGGTTACGCGTCACATTTTTCCGTTACGCGCCATCTTTTTTTATATTAATAGTTGATAGCTGAATGATCACACTGTCGCCGGCGACAACTCTCTCTACTCGTTTGTAGCTGAGTGACAATAGTTATTAAAGATAAGACTCGCTCAGCCAAACTCGCATAGCGATACTCGCTCAGCGGTTCTTGCTCAGCGATACTCGCTCAGCTATACTCGCTCGGTTAAGCTGGCTTGGCTGTCAAAAGCCGTGCGCGTGCATTTTAACTCAGGACTGCCAATTCGTTTCTAGTTTCTACTCGCTTATCGTTCACCGTCGGAGGTGGAACATGTGCCTTAGATTACTAAGCCGTGTAATCATAACAGTTTCATAGGCAGTAATTTGTATTCATGTCCATGATAATAAAATCCTTTTGTTTAAACTTTATCTAATTTAACTTTATTTAACCAATTTCTGGAAAGTTGCATGTAGATCATTTTTCGAAAAATAAGGCCATAAAGAAGTTTCACTTCTTACGTGTGTACACGCACACATTTTTTTTGTAGTAGTTACTATTGCTGAGCGACAGAAAGTTTTAAACAGAAAAGATCTTAAAATATGCGACCGGCATAGAAATATTATTTTTGATATTCGACATAAGGTGACCTCAGACCAAATAAAAAGTGAAATAAAAACTACGCCTCGCCGCGTACATACACAGTTACACGCACACACATGCATCGAAACTACGCCTTGGCTTCCCAGTCGAGCTATCTCGGCGCGCGGAGTGTGACGTAATAATAAATAACAATATTTATTGGAGAAAATGCCGAATTTTGTAGTGAAAATGTGTAGAAACCAATCTTCCAAAAATAAGAAACAGGATGGAATCACATTTCATACGTAAGTAGTGTTGCCCAAATGCAAGAACAAGGCGAGACTTAGCCAGTCTTGGTCTTGGTCTTGCGCCAATACACCTGGTCTTGGTCTTGCGCTCCCAGTCTTGGTCTTGGTCTTGCAAGTCTTGCAATTACCAATTAGACTATTGCTATTTATTAAAGTTTACTTTAGATTATTTGGAACACCTGTACTCTAAAATTCGATAATCGAAGTTCGTGTCATACCGTCTCGCTCGCTCTTATATTAAATAGTATTAGCGTGAGTGGGACGACACGACACGAAATTAGAATTTTGCATGAGTATACCTAGGCGGCAACACCATCATCACCATGTACTTGCGAAAAGCGGCAAATTTCTTTGAAAAGTCAGTACAAAACCTTTGATGCCGCATTATCAAAGTGCCGATGGTTAAAAGAAAACAATGCATGCACTCTGTTTGATTTTAATGAATATTTTTTTATTCGTTAGGTATGTTTATGGTATTGGTCGTAATGCGCATAGGTCCAGTTTTTCATATTCTTTGATACAGTTTTTTGCGTCTCATGGAATTCCTAAGCGTACCTATACACCGAACTGTATACCTAACTACTCCGTGAAATAGCGCTAAGTCCTAGCTGCAAGACGCAAGAGTCTTGCCGGATTAGTCTTGTTTTTGCTCAAGCACTTCAGTGCACGGTCAGTCTTGGTCTTGGTCTTGCAAAAATGCAAGAACAAGACCAAGACTGAATTTGGGCAACACTATACGTAAGTAAACTTTTAAACTGATATTTTCAATTAATCAAAATCAAATTTGAGGTTGTCGCTTGGAACCAAAGATATTAAATACCCTAGATACACCGCGAGCGCTCAGTGTGTCCCAATCAAGCACTTCTTGGTTCACAGTCACGCGCGGACCGTTACAAAGTCAAGATGCCACAGATCTCTGCTATATTTCTAACAGACATACTGAAAAATTTGAACATAACCGAAAGATTCGTTTATCGTACCATTAAACGATACAATAAAAACTCTAGTGTAGATGACAGGTGAAGAAGTGGTCGCCCTCGGTCTGTTAGGACTCCAGCTGTGATAAAAGCTGTGAAGGCGCGAATTCAAAGAAATCCCAAACGTAAGCAGAAACTGTTGGTTCTTCAGATGGGGTTAAGCAGAACCACGGTGAAAAGGGTGTTAAATGAAGACTTACGGCTTCGGGCATATCGAAGAAAAATATAACATCGTTTGAATGCTCGTCTAATGGACCTGAGACTGAAGTGATGCCGCGCTTTGTTGAAGCGGTACGCGGGAAAAAAATATCGGGAAATTCTTTTTTCGGATGAAAAAATTTTTACCGTAGAAGAGAGAGAACAACAAACAAAATGATAAGGTGTACGCACACACTAGTGAAGAAGCGAGCAACCGTATTCCGCGTGTCCAACGAGGTCATTTTCCATCCTCGCTCATGGTATGGTTGGGAGTTTCTTATTGGGGCTTGACAGAGGTACATTTTAGGCGGCGCGTGAAATCGACTTCATCCGGCGCGAAGACTGGCCCTCCTCCAGTCCAGATTTGAATCCGTTAGATTACAAGATATGGCAACACTTGGAGGAAAAGGTGTGCTCAAAGCCTCGTCCCAATTTGGAGTCACTCAAGACATCCTTGAATAAGTCAGCCGCCGATATTGACATGGACCTCGTTCGTGCTGCGATAGACGACTGGCAGTGCAGATTAAAGGCCTGTATTCAAAATCACGGAGGTCATTTTGAATAAACTTTATTGTCATAAGAATCTATGTTTTGTTAAGTTCATTTTGGTATATAAATGGTTACATAATGAATAAACTTGTTTCAATTATTTTATACTAGCTGTTACCCGCGACTTCGTCCGCGTGGAATAGTATCTTTGGGTAGCATTTTTATTATTTAATAAGAATCATTAGTAGATATAGTAGGTGCATTTAAAAAAAAATAAAAATATTATGTCCAAGAGACACTTGGGCCAGCGTCACGTTATGTACAAAAATATTTTAAAATGACCTAATTTAAAACATTTTTGTATACAACGTTTGCTGTTTTGTTATTATTTGTTATAATGTGGAGATTGTTTGGACTCGACACTCGCGAGCAGGCCACGTACAGTTGGCCATGAGAAAACAATTTTTCTCTAAATTGACACCTGCTACTTTAAGTGTTTGCCCTTGCGCTTTGTTAATGGTCATTGCGAAGGCTGGTTTGAGGGGAAACTGGATTCTTTTAAACTGAAAAGGTAAATCTGTAGGGATCATGGGTATGCGGGGAATCAAAACTTCTTCATCTTTAGCTATACCAGTCATTATAATTGCTCTAATAATATTGCGTCCTAGCTGCGTAATTTGCAATCGATTCCTGGAACCACAATTTTCAGTCTCAGCTTATGTGACGGCACTCCTGACAGCTCTAAAGAGTTTAGAAACTCTGTAGGATCTTATCCTAGGATAGGAGGATGTCACCTGTTCACTGTCCATGACAATGGTGTCGATTCTGGCGTGATTCTCTAAACTTAAAACTAAATTAAACATCAGTCTCTCCTTTTCATTCTGTATAGAGAATGACAAGGATACACTGTTGTCAAATTTAAGTTTAGATTTAGAGAATCGTGCCAGAATCGACACCACTATCTACTGACAAATATTCGACAACATCGCCTTGCACATGTGACATCATTTGTTCATTGATCTGTCCCACGATTTCATTGGTCGTTGCTAATATTGCCCTTTCACACAGCCACTCTCTATTCCTCATGTTATATTCCAAACCGGGATAGACGTTGTTTTTAAGATCTTCCAAGTTGTGGACAGCATTACAAAATTCTTGATTTAATGTAATCATGCCGTTAGCGTCCGTAGTCATTCGACCTTCACCGATTTTCAATAGAGCAGCTGCATATTGCCCCGATTGCGTATCATTATGTAGTTGTACTCGCGTGTTTTTAGTGAGACATTTTTTTTACATGTACCCATAATGTAGACTTCAACATGCATTTATCTCATCTGCTGGAGTGCCTCTGATAATGGTCTGTCGAAAATCACCAGCAAGCAGCACTACCATCTCACCCATTAAACTCTGGTTGCTTCTGATATCTTTCAGAGTCCGATTGAGCGCTCGATCTCTTTTTTATGCGACATTTACAGGACCTAGCTTATAAAAAATACTTATTTAAAAAATTATACGAAACAATAAAACTATTTTTCATCCCACCACCTCGGAAAGTGTAATTTTGCGCTTCGAAATCTGGCTGGAAAATTCTATTTTATTCGCTTGAGCGGCAAAGTAGATTTGAATTTAGAACATCACATATAATGAGTACTCAATATAATTGTAAATTCAAAACGTCATTAAACCTATTTAATGTAACCTCTATGGTGCCAAATTTATGATTAGAACTTTTTAAATTGTGAAAAAATTTAAATTTGGAACCTTCTTGGTTTCTTTGTTTTATTTGCGTGCTTCGCGCCATTCTAGTTTTTCACGTTTTATTGCTTAAATATTTTGTCATTATAAATTGTTTTCTTTTTCATTTTGTCATTTCCTCGCTGAGGTGGGATGAAAAGTTACGTATTGCACTCGAGTGGAAAGATTTTTCACCTTGTGCTCGTTTGTTTCCCTCGCTGACGCTCAGGATTCTAATTTAGAATCACTCGCTGCGCTCGTGATTCAACTTTAGAATCCTTCGCTTGCTCGGTCATCCAAATCGAGCACGCGGTTAAAAAGGAACTTTCCACTCTTGTATAATAAATAACTATTACTGGATCGAAAAATGTAATTTTCTGTAGCGCAAATTTCTCTAATCGCATGCGTCCGACAACGACGTCTGCCCTCACGTGTCTGCCCGTTCGGGTAGGCATAGTTAGATTCGTGCGCTTCCCCACTACACGACAGCGCAGCGGCAGCGGCGGCGATGCAGAGTATTCGTTAAAAGGAACTTTAACTTCAAAAGCCAAATTTTTTTTTAACTTGATACACCCAAAACTTCTAAATATCATGTTCCTAGGTTCAGTGGTTAAGATTTTGTATACAAAAAGTTTAGCTTCGTAGTTCCCAATCCCATAAAACTTTTCACCCCCCCCCCTCCCTTTTTAACCGCTTACAACCCCCTTTTCGCAATAAAAAGTAGCCTATGTCCTTTCTCAGGATCTAGACCATCTGTATACCAAATTTCATTCAAATCCGTTCAGTAGTTTTGGCGTGAAAGAGTAACAGACAGACAGTCAGAGTTACTTTCGCATTTATAATATTAGTGTGGAAGTGTGGATCAAACATGTGACAGAATTTATGACCTGACTAGGTATATATACCTACAGATGGAGCTAAAGAAATTTCACTTCAGTAGTGTGGTCATAAGCAAACTCATTTTTTTTTTGGCATATGAAAATTCCTGTAATTGCACTCGGTACCTACGTATTTTGCGGGTGGGTGATCAGCCAGCCATCCTGACGTCAGAATACTTAAAAGATATTGATTATTCTTTAAATTGAAATATTAATGAAGCAAATCCCCATGATAGAAAGCAATTCTTTGCCACCATTTCAAGGGTAAATAAAATTAGTGACCTGCCATCCTGACGGTCAACTCTCTGCACGATTTTTAGCGTTAAATTATAATTACCTGGTAGTCCCGTAATATTTATCTATTCACTAAGTTTTTTTTATATATATATTTATTTATTAAATACCTACATATTAATTTATAAATGTAGTAGGAATGGCTTATAGGTATTTTTTCAATCGCAAGTGTAATCCCAAACGCCTGGGGTTCAATCGCCTAGTGGGATTGCGATGACCATCGCTATCGATTTAATTTTGTTAGTTCTTTCGTTTCGTTTTAAAATATCCTCGCTCTTGTTTTTCTTTTGTATTGGTAATAACAATGTTAAAGAAAATCAGCGTGAGGTATTTGTAAACCTTCGGCGGTCAGTCAGGCGCTTTCATGAAATCGTAAGCGATAGCCGTAGCAATCCCGATGGCTATAAGCCCCCTGGAAACAAAAGGTTCTTTTGAGACAGCAAAAATATTGTCAACGCCTAAAAAGCCTCAAAACCTATGAACGTTTTTTCCAAAATTTTTACTCCTGCACCAAAAGTTCCAAAATTTATAATTATATGTTAAATTTCAACTTAATAGCGCAATTATTTGTAAAAATATAAAAAAAAACTGTGTGATTCGGTTTTTGTTGGGTACAATAAGTCGGCGGTAATGGCCCGATTGAATCCTAGTGTAATGTATATTACACTAGGATTCAAACCCAGGACTAGGAGCAAAACCAGATTTATAATAAAAATACCATAATCTAATATTAAGTTTTATTGTTCATGATGTTAGACGTCAACCATTACACAAATTATCCAAGCTGAAATGGTAGCACGAAATTAAGAGTTGAGAAATAATTCATCTGAAACAAATAAATTGCTGCAGCCTAAAAACTTACCATGCTAAGTTTGTTTATTCACTTGACAGATTTGCAGAAATCAATATACTGCCCGGGACCAGTTTTATATATACTTAGTTTACTTACCGTTATTATTCTATAGTTCTTAACTGCAAACACTGTTTACAGCAACTAATCTGCAAACGCTTTATTTTACTTACAAGCTAATACTTACCGAAGATGCAGTCTTTTCAACTATGTTGTTATTTCATCCTATAGTGGAATTGAGTGACCCAATATTTACCATTAGCAACTGCAACTAGTCTGTTGTATACCACTTTTGAAGTGCTATATAGCTGCATTACGGGATCACAACTGTAAACTAAACAGCATCAGCGAATTCTGCACTCCACCTGCAGGAACTTCTATGAAAACCCAGAACGATATTCAAAATCCGTTTTACTGCCATTGCGATCGCGAACGATTAATACCTATTCAGGCGATATATTCGAACTGTCAGGAAAAGACATCTATCCATTTGAAGATTATCTCAAAATTTAACAAGAATCAATCAATCAATAATAATGCCATATTATCAGACTGTCTGAATCAAGTGCCCGAAATATATTTGGTTTTATTCAATATAAATTACTGTCTTGTACTTTTGTTGTTTTCAGACAGTAGGGCACCAAATATGATTAAATAATTTTTTTAAATATTTATTGAAAATTTTCAAATTTAATAATTGCTACGGCGCCTGTATGGCGCCCCATTGTTTCGGAAGTCACGCCTACCGTACCCCCCTCGCCCCCGACCAGAGTTAGGCCCTGAGAATCTCCCAGTATTGTTCAGCCTTGAACTGTATTTGCCAGAAGGTGGTGTGTACATTTTCAAGTTTCTATCACCACTGCGAGCTCGTTTTTCCGGTGAAGATTTTTCATCACCATTGTCAAATGTGATTGGTTGATGTCGTTTTTGTCCTTGAGCTGGTTTGTCTTTATCTTCAGTGCTGGGTTTTCTTTCCTGAAAAAAAAAGGAAAGGGAGGAATGGTTTATAATGAGAATTGAGTAAAGAAGTATAGATGTCGTAGTATGATTTTTAAAATTTACAAGTTTCTGATATCATCATCATCATCATCACCAGTCTATTATCTAACTGGCAGACGACAGTGCCACCCTTATGGGAGAGTTTGTCAGTGACGAGCTGCCTGTACGCTTCGGTGTTCCACAGGGCAGTGTTTTGGGTCCAACTTTGTTTATTATCTTTATGAACGATATTCATAAAGCAACACCACGGGATGTCGAAATATATTGCTATGCAGATGATACTATTGCCATTTTTCATGACAGATGCTGGGAGGTTGTGTTTAATAAGGCTGAAGAGGGAATGGCTATTCTAAAAAAGTGGCTTGCCGGCAATCTTCTTTCTTTGAATGCCTCCAAGACGAAGTATTTGTTTCCATAAAACCAAAGCATCAGAAACTCCCCGCGCCCGTTCCTAACGTATTCACTCAGATTGCTTCTCTGAATACTGCACCTGCCAGAGCTTAGAGCGAGTTACAAATGCCAAGTATCTGGGTATCACTATAGACGAAAACCTATCTTTTAAGATGCACATAGAAACCACTGCTTCCCGTATCAGAAAGCTGATCTACGTTATGAAAACTCTTAGGAGCTGCGCTGACGAGGAGATTCTCAATCTCGTTTATAAGAGTCTCGGGGAGTCACTACTTAGTTACTGTATTCCTGACTGGTGTGGAACCGGGATCACTGCCATGTTAGTTTTGGAGAGAGCACAACGAGCTGTCTTAAAGGCGATGACCACTGCGAAAGTTGCTTAACGACCGCAGCCGAACGCGCTAACCAATGGCGCCATCGAGCTCCTCAGTTTCATAAATAATATCATAAGATAAATCGAATTTTCGAAAATCCTAGGGATTTTGCAAAACCACGGATAACTCGACAATGGCGGCGACATTGCTTAATCTTACTGTTAATGACTGGCTAATGCCGCGGCACATTCGCTACGCTTGCTCGACTCGCGGGTCATGATCACAACACTAACCTAAACTAGTGAGAACCCAATAATATTTATAATAAGCCAACGATTCTTTTCGCAATCTTACTGAGGTGACTCGCGTTTTCATACAGATCCTATTTTTTTTAGAGAGATTGAAAAATGCCATCGCCATCGTCTAATTATCTGAGCTTTAGCATAATCTATAGGATTTTCGCGGAAAACGAATTATCAAATCATCTTACGACAAATACGCAAATTCCACATAAATATCTATAAAAAGTATATTGTGGCCTCCTACGTGATATTTGCAAAACTGGAGGCTGTTTCAATAACAATGCAATGGCAGAACATTCATCATCATCAACAGCCTATCTTAGTCCACTGTTGGACATAGGCCTCTTCAAATGCACGCCACTTAGATCGATCTTGGGCTACTCGCATCCAGCTCCTGCCAGCCACCTTGCGCAAATCGTCACTCCATCGCGCCTGAACATTAATGAAACAATTATAATTGATGGGGAACTAACCTCCTTCTCAGGTTTTTTGGTACACTGGAATGAGAGCTGTACTTTACTCTTAAAACTTGGTGGAGTACGGAATATGTCTCTGATGAGAACGTTGATGTTTGATGTTGTCTTTAATGCTGCAATTTTCAATTTGTTTTCTTCTGAGTTAGCATCTTGTCCCTTTTTGCCCTGTAAGGAATCAAGGTAACAAAATATAATATTATGCCTATGAATATATTCATACAATGCCTATTTCAGGCTACAAAATGGTGTGAAACTAATAAGAAACAGCTAGTAAAACTTCGCAATAAATAAAATTAAGGAGTCCCTATATGTCTGGATTTCATTCCTATAAAGATTTCGCTGTGCTTTTTTGTAGAAATTAGCTTTTATTTTTTTTACTTGGCACTTGCTCGTATCCCACTCCTGAATAAAGAGAGGTAGAATTTGTCATTGTAAATATTTTTATTTTCCATTCCGCATACAGCTTATTAGCATACAATTGGTAATTATGCAAGTGTCAAAAGTAAAGAATAATACCAGCCTACAAATATTGTACCTGTGTGACTTCTTTCAGTTTCTTTATGTATCCCTGTGTTAATCTCGCAGTATACTGTAGACGTAAACGCAATGCCTTCAGACGAGCCGCATCTGCACCAAGTATTTCAGGAGATTTGCGACACAACGAGTGTAGGGCAAATAATGCACATTCTACATGTGAGAATTGTAAAGATGGCACAGCTGAAGTTTCTTCTTGTTTATTTTCTGATTCAACCTTATCCTTTTCTGTGTTGGTTTCTTCATTTTCTACTGGAGCTTCTGGCAAGTATTTCTTAAAACAAAAGTTTGTCTCATATGGTTGGAAGAAAATAAAAGGAACATCTATGCTAATTGAATGTTGTATGAAATTAAGTAGATATTTATTCAATAGTTTTGAAAAGTATTAGTCAAACTTTTAATTATTCAAATTGGATGCATTAATTAATTCTTTATATCGTCTCAAAATGTTAAGACTACCCATGTCAACATTTGTCACAATCATTTCTATAAAACAATTGACTACCAATCCAATACCACCTACAAGGTATGAAACCTTAATGATTTCATATTTTTATTTTACGTCCGGGAGCAAAGAATTGTGGTTGTATTCTCATGCAGACATGTCTGAATAAAAGAAAACTTCAAAAAAATTATTAAAATTCTTACCATGAGTATATCATAAACAGTGTTTATTTTTTCTTGCATGTTCTCAATTTCTCCACAGTGTTCAGAGATTTCAGCAAAAATTTTTAGTAATTCCAATTTTGAATCAGTACCACCCTCAGCTGTAGTTATTTCATCCCAACGGGCCAGTACATGGTCAGAGAAGAAATTGACAAACTGTGATGAGTCTACCTGGGACTGTAGCAAAGTTTTACATTAATATCATTGACATTACTGACTAATACTATGGAAAATTTTAATTGATTTTATTTCATATTATATCAAACAAAGAGAAATGAAATTAAGGAACTTACAGAAAATAATGGTAGAGCATGCTGAGAACATTGTATAATTCTGTCAACATATTCTGGATCTTCTGGATGCCAATCCTCTGGGGAGAATGCTATCGCTGCCACAAGCTGCACTAATTCTTTCTTTCCTGCTGGAGTTTTACCAAGTCTGGACCAAGTCAGTAAATCCATAATATGTTCAAATTCCTCTGCCACAACATCCTGCAATTTAATTATAACCAACCAAACACTATTATTAAATATTGTTTGTCAAATTATAAAAGAGATTTATAACTTTCATATGGAAAAATCATACTGTACATTACCCACCTCTAAGATTTTTTTGCATTCAACAATAATGAGATCTTCTGCTTCCTTGTTTATTACTTCCCTTCCAAGTTGTTTGACTTTTGTAGCTAAGAATTTAATGCAACGCTCCCTTACAATTTCATTTGTGACTTCGCTGTCTGTGCTCTGGTGTATCTGTGAGAAAATTCCAGCAAGAGCCCCTTTTGGATCTCCTTTCAGGATCGTCATCAACGAGTTAGTCACTACATTAATCTCAGTAGTATCATCAGATTGTAGGAGCTGAGATAATATATCAGCAATTCTTTGAGTGTGCTCTTTATTTTCCTTGCAGAGAACTGGCAAATCCTTAATAGCTTGTTTTCTAATCTATAATTGAAAAATGTGAAATGTGAACTTGTAACTAATAACAGAAAATCATTATAGAGTAATAGGCACATTAAACTGCCACACGAAATTCATACCCACCTGAGTAAATTACCTCATGTGGTATTTATACAGGTTCATTATAAAATACTTTTGAAATAGCAATAATGTTCGTGTTTTGAATAAAATACCACCAAAAATTGCTCTTTATATTAATATCAATAAATTATCCATGATTTAGTTGGCATTCAAAATTAATCATTTTTATGTAAGAATATTAATGAGGTAAATTCATCATATTGTTTTCGTTTAAAAAAAAACACGTGTACTTAAATTACTTACAGCAACATCGTCATCTTCACAGAGATCAAATTGAGCTTCAATGGCTTGTTCTGATAGGTTAGGAAAACTATGAAAGAATTTCGCAATGAATTGGGATGCCAAACGTTTCTCCTTATCCGATCCCTTTACGGCTGCCAATATTTCTAAATATTCTTTTTCATGCTAAAATAACAATTACACTTTAAAATTTGTATGCAATATAAACAGTATAAATTTGTTTTCTATTAGATTTTAGTGAAAAGAGGTTACCTTTGAAATGTCATCTTTGGCGTCGGCCAATATGCCGTAGTTTTCGTATAGCTTCTCGATATTATCAGCAGACATCACGCATTAACTTTATGTTGCTTGTAGTACTAATGATTGTAAATGAAGAAAGAAACACTACTAGAGTCCACTTTGAGAAGGAAAATTTAATATTTTGCAATTCTGCCCAACCCTGATAATCAACGACGAGACAACTGGAGACAACAGACGACCACAGATGAATGAAAGATGTAGTGTTGAGTAGGACTTACAAGAGGCGGTACATTTGTCCCGGACATGACGTCAAAATGTAAGAGCGGCTCAAAATTTTAAAATGTACTACTTCACATTAAATGTCGCGATAGTCGCGTCTCGTTACTCACTCACTCTTCGTAAGTCTCAGAGAGAGAGCGAGGCATGACATTTCATTTAAGTCCTCTACGCACTATCCATCTGCATCTCTATTTCTTTTACGTGTATAGCGCTGTCCTGCATGCTGGATCCAGCAAGATTGATAGTGCGTAGAGGAGGTGCTACTCGTGCACACAAACGTAATGTCGAGCTTCTGTACGCCTCAATGTCATATTTGTACTCGTCACTTCAAATGTGTTGCCGAGCTTCAGTACGCCTCGCCTCATTTGAAGTGGGACATTGTACTGGCTCAGTACAAAAAAGAGGCTACTCTTACAAACTCTTTTTCAAGTCGTGTCCTACCCAACACTAGAAAGATGACGTGAGTGAAGTGAGAATGAGAAGTGAGACCAAGAGAGTGAAACGACTGAACCAGTGTTGCCAACTCGGATTTTGAAAAAGGCGTAGGCCCGATGAGAAAATTACGTAGATTTAGTAATTTTTGCATATGAAAAGTACGTAGATCTACGTACTTTTTTCTGAGTGAAATGAAGAAGTCCGAATGAAACGAGTATTTTGTTATACAATTTCTTTAAAAATGGGAGATGGAACAAAGAGTTCTTGGAGAAATCGCTGCATTGGAAGCATTTACCATGCTGCGGTAGACCATGACCATGTGGTATTATAAAACCATGATTTCTAATAGATCACATGAAAAATAGAGTTAGTTATCATAATACACTTGGTAAAAGACTCTAGAAAATTGTGGTTAAAATTGCCAAGAGAAATAATACATACACTTATACATGAACACATGTTAAAAACTTTCTAATTCCTGTAACTTTATCGACTGAAAGTCATTTCTTTTTGCAAAGATCAATTCGATGTAAGTACTCATTGAACAATATTTAAAGTTTAAAAATTCAATTTTTAAGGTTACGAATGTACCTACTAAGTCAAAGAGTTTTGTCGTTTCTCCTTTCACAAATCCTGCGTCCAGCTTAATGCTGGACGGCTTTGGCTTTAGTCAATAAAACCAATGACGGGAACCTTTTCTACAAGATACAAGAGTTTTTAGATACATCGGTATAAGAAATAAACATTTTTATAGTTTTTAAGAAAAGTAACGGAAAATATTCTTCTTTATTCTAGTGAATTAATTTATTTTACAAATTTGAAAAAATTCAAGAAAATACGTAGATTCTGGGACTAAAGTTAGTAGGTTTGCAGAAAAGGCCTAAAATACGTAGATCTACGTAAAAAGACGTAGAGTTGGCAACACTGGACTGAACATAGATTACTTGGGATTTTTGGCGGGATTTCATCGAGTGCGGTTGGCGTCTTATTTTAATTATCCTTAAATTCGTTCATAGTGGATATTGTGAAATAAAATTGATGTGGTTTTGTGTAACAACTGTCTGCGTAACTGAAGAATTAGTGGAATCAATAAAATATACGCTATTCCGGTCAAGTGCACGTGAGAATTTTATTGTAGTGTTGACTACCTCACAGAAGCTTATCGAAAACGCCAACTCGATACATTTCGTGCCAAACACTACAAGAAACATTAGAATGCGTCACACCGACATTCTAATGTAAAAACAAAAAGAAGATAAATTTCATTTAAGACCAGGCTGTATGGGCATTGTTCCCTTTGCCTTCCCTAAAACGGGAGAACTTCAACAACATAGATTACTTGCTCAATGGACTGAACGACTGACCGACCACAGACAAAAGTTAGTGTATGGGATAATAGGTTGTCTATGGTTGGGCGTACCGATTATAAATAGTCGTTAATTTAATAAAATCGATATTAGTTTACAAGTTATTGTAAGTAACCGTTTAAAAAAAATGTAGGTCGGTCATTTTCATAAAAAGTGTGCACCTTAAAAAAAGATGCTGTAAATATTTTGTGTGAAAATAAGAAGTTTTATACCAATAGTAAATAATGGATTTTGTATCTAATGAATTATGAAAAACCACCACAAACAATTATGGTTTTTTATTATTTATTGAAATATGGCTATTTCCATTCGTAATGGTAACAAAATGTACTACGATTCTATATACAAAATATATTCTGTGACGAACAGTTCACAGTCATTAGAATAAATAAAACAAAGAAGACCATTTTAAAGAATTATACTTTTCGAGTACACAATAAAATATTAAATAATTTAAAAAATTGTGTGTGGTAGCTCCGACGCACGACCGGAGTTTACACTCTAAAAACGATTGTCTTTGAACAGACACAAAACAAAATCAAGTCCGAAGAAGTAAATTAAAAATAAACCAAGAGGACATTTATAAAATGAACTTTAATTACTTGGTCTCTATCTTACAATTCGATTGTACTCATTTATTTCTACCGATTACTTGTAATCTGTGGCACTATCTTAGTAATCATTATGTGTGTGTTCCCTAAACTAGTGTACTCTATGGGTGCGGCCAGAGTGCACTCAGATTCAGATTCAGATTCTGAAAACAAGCGCGAGAAATAAACAGTGTAATCTAAGCAGGTTGCCTGCTTTTTCTCGCGCTTTGTTTTCTGAGTCTGAATCTGAATCTGAATCAGGAGTGCACTCTGGCCGTACCCTTCGACTACACGGTTATTTCTCGCGCTTGTTTTCGGAATCTGAATCTGAATCTGAATCTGAGTGCACTCTGGCCGCACCCTATGGGTGCGGGTGGGTACGGCCAGAGTGCACTCCTGATTCAGATTCAGATTCAGACTCAGAAAACAAAGCGCGAGAAAAAGCAGGCAACCTGCTTAGACTACACTGTTTATTTCTCGCGCTTGTTTTCAGAATCTGAATCTGAATCTGAGTGCACTCTGGCCGCACCCTATGGTGGCACATCACTAAGTGGGCGGTACCCGTCCATGAAGTATAATATTATTTGTATGTTATTTTAACGTAAACAATACAAAATTTCATGGGCGTCAATCTGTCAAAAAGATAATAATGGAATGGACAGACTAGTCATCATTTTGTAAATATGTATTATAATTCCATCTGTACTGGAAATCACTATTCCAGAGTGCTGGACACTTACCGGCATTTCTCTATATTCTGTTATTTATTTGTTTTCATTAATTTTGCTCCGATTTTATCTATTTTTAGTTTATTTATTTTATTGACATTTGTGACAACTTAATGTTTTTTTACGTTGCCATGGCTAAAATTGAAAGGTGCGCAGATGAGGTTGCGCACAAAAACGTAACGAGGTCATTAATGTCATTCATCGATAGATTTTACTCATTACATTTTTCTCATACCGGGCCACTTATATATGCAAATCGATTCTTAAGAAGTAAACTCCAAAAAAAGTCTTAAAATCCTTTGTAACATTCACTAGTAATCGAGCTTTTAATATAATTCCTCTTTGCCCAAAGTGAATCGTATTTTTTGTTGATTCTGCAATTAAAATTAATTTTAGGAATTTCTGAAAATTAAATTTAATTGTAGTATTAAATTAAAATCTTATATTATAAGACACTACCATAACACATTTTACTGCAAAAAAAACAAAATATCTTAAAAACGACACAGTCAGGGAATAGACAGGACCGAAATGCAATTCTTGTGACTAAAGCCAGAAATATACTTATTTATCGTGTTGTGTTGTGTCTCGTGACGCATCGGAGAGCTATGAAACATTTAGTACGGTTAGAATTCACTTGAGTGTTGCGATTAGGACATCGAAACCCGGTTCAATTTTCTAAATGTAAGAGTAATTAAAATCAGGTCACCCGGGGTTTTTCGAGCTTTTCGATCTTTATGTTACTTTATGATCTTTAAAAATACAAGAAAGTGTGTTGATAACAACACACACTTATAATGACAACTTATAAATGAGTACAAAATGAATGAACGACGAAGTATTAAAATTAATGAAATAGTACTGTCCACATCACAAAAACAGTTTTAATAATACAAAAATAAACGGGCGAGCCTTACAGTAGTCGCGTATGATGTGTAACATTTGAAATCTCACCTTATTTAGTAAAAAATTAAATAAAACCTACAAAAATTGAAAAAAGGAAGAAGCCATTTGAACATTACGTTCTAAAATCAAATCAAATAGCGCGCGTTTTCGCGACTTCCTGTTAAACACTTCCGTCCCATTTCACGAAGTCACTCCCACAAATTGCAGGAAAGCGAGAGAAAAGATGTTACTCATCAAAACGGGACATCAGAACGCCTCGCCCGATCACACTTTTAACACGTAAAGCGTTCGCCAGCTTACTCCCCAAGGCAAAAGTGCGTAAAGAAGTTTCACTTTAAAAACAAATTTTTCTTCATCATCATATCAATCGTACGACGGACGGCCGAATCGATCTGATAGAACCTGCACCACTCGCATCCAGAGGCTTACCTTTACCGACGATCTGTCATGTCATGTCATGAAGTCTGTCCACCTCGTGGGGAGCCTGCCCACTGAGCGTCGCGTCGTCCGGTGCGTGGTCGCCATTCAAGAATCTTTGCGCCCCAGTTACCATCGGTTTTCCTTGCTACGTGTCCCATCCATTGCCACTTCAGAAGAGCAATCCGTCGAGCTAGTGAAGTATTGGTTATTTTTGTTCTCCTACGGATTTCCTCAGTTCTGATTCTATCGCGTAGTGATACCAGTATCGCTCTCTCCATTGTTCGCTGCATGAGCTTGAACCATCTTATGAGACTTGGTGGCAAACGACCACGTTTTGCTTCCATAGGTCATCCTTGGCAACACACAATGTTCAAATACTTTTGTCTTTAGACACTGAAGGAGATGGGACGTTGAGTTTATACGTATTTTTTATAGCTAGGTAGGCTTTATAGCTAGTACTCTACCCCACTTGTTCTTACTTAATACCACCTCTTGGTGGCAAAGTCCAGACGCAAAGATAGCTGGTGCAGCAT